ACTGGAGCGGGAAGGGTAAGCCGTGGCTGCGGCTGGACGCCGGCCGGCCGTGCCCGCTCGACGCGCTCTGGGCGCCCTACGACCTCCTTCGCCGCCGCGGCGCCCGGGACGACCTCCTCGCCGCCGTCGCCTGACAATGCTGGCCCCACATCGCTGGAGCACGATCGATTTGCTCGCGTCCGATCGGCTCATATGCCACGGCGCTTGGCTGCTCCGCTCGCTTCGCCGTTCCACTCCCACGGGTGGGTGTCGGCGTCGGGGCACCGAGTCACTGACACGTTAGACCCACCTGGACACTCCGCATGGGTCCCCTGATGAGTCCATGCTGTCAGTCGTAATGGCGTTGGTTGGAGTGGCCCTGTCGCTACTGAAATTCGTCGGGCCCACACGTTGGTGGCGGATGGGGATTCTGGGGTGGGGGCCGAGGTGAAATGCAGACATGGGCTGTGTACAGCTGTTGTTTTTTTTGGCCTGTTGGGACCTTTAGATTCTATTCTTTATTTTGTTCTTGTTATAAATTCTTGAATCTACTTCCATATAATAGCAATAGTGGTGCAGGCACACAGGTTTATCACCTTGGAATAAAATTGGGTATATTTGGGATTAGGGTTATATATATATATATATATATATATATATATATATATATATATATATATATATATATATATATATATATATATATATATATTGTACACGGTAGTCAGAGGTTAGGGCTCAGCAGGTGGAAACAAGGAGTGTTGTTCTTGGGAAATGCAGCTTGGTGTAGTTTTATAAAAAAAATTGTACGAATGAAAGGCTGCTATTTTTAATTCGTTGATCGCAGTGCACAGCTAGCCAGATTTGAGTTGTCGTTTTACTTTCAGAATGAAAAGAAATGCAGCCCTTGTAACTTTTATAGTAGCAAAAAAAAGAAAAGCTAATTGGAGATGTCTGGTGGCACAAATCTCAATCCTGCGTCTCCAAAATTCAGGAATCTGATCTCACTTTACCGCTTTTGTTTAAAGCCTGATCCACGGATGATTTTCAGTGGAGTTTGGTGCCATGTGATTCGAATGGGCGCTTGCCAAGTGCTCGAGGGGATCTTTGTAAGAAAAGGTGGCAAATTCTTTGCTTCTCCCGTGCGCGAGCGCGAGAGGGGAGAAAAGAGCCCAGGTCCGGTTCCTTTCTGCCTTTTCTCCGCGGTTACCATCAGGCTGCCGGGAAGGGGATGATCTATCGATCGCGGTAGAGTGCGAGCGTGATGTTGTCGACGGGAGTGCGGCTTCGTGCAGGATTACTGCAGCGGTGACAGGCCATTCAAAGGTGCTTATAAAAGTCTAAACTGATGGTGATGATATGACTCCTTCAAAACTGGTCGCCCCCCTCCCTCGCCCGCCCCCACGTACGGAGTACCATCTTGCTCGCTTCGATGGCGCTGGGCTGCGTGACTTGATCTGCCACATGTATACTCCGCGGCCGCGACTCCCTGCGGTGCTGCTGCTGTAAGCAGAGGGCAGATCTTGGCCTGGTTTAGATTGCAAATTTTTGTAATGTGAACACTGTAGCATGTTTCGTTTGTATTTGACAAAATTTATTCGATTATGGACTAACTAGGTTTAAAAGATTCGTCTCGTGATTTACAATCAAACTGTACAATTAGTTATTTTTTTATCTATATTTAATACTTTATATATGCATCTAAAAATTGATGGGATAGAGATAGTGAAAAAACTTAGAACTTCCAGGTAATCTAAACAAGGCCCCTTGTCTCGGTCCACAGAACTGACAAAAGCGGCACCGACAGTCTCGGCATTTCAGGGATGGCGGATGGGACAAGCGCCGACGTGTTCCCACGCGCGAAAGGATGCAGTTTTTAGTGGACCAGCGTCCCAGCGTCTTGTCTTGGTTGCCAGCCTTCGTACGCCTAAGGACACCCGCGATGGGTTAATGACTCTATACTAATCTATGTAACAGTACCAGCTCTTAGCAATGACTTATAGCATAAATAGCATGTGACACTCTCATATAATCTTAAAGTGTGTGTATGAGCTTAGCTCTTAATCAAGAGCTAGCTTTTCTCTCCCTTCTATAAAAAAAAAATAAAAAAAAATGCTAAGAGCTAGTTATGAGTCGACCACTATGGGTGCCCTAAGCTTCGGCAGCCACAGAAAAAAAATATATTGTAATCTTTAGTAGGGCTGCTTGGTTGGCTATCAATTCTTACCCCCACCAAAATTACAGTAGCTAAAAAAAGCAAGTAGGTCCTATTTTTTTTATTTAAAGTCCCCTCCAATTCTCGAGGGTATGTTTTCTTACATCTATTCCAAGAGAAGCTCTAAAATTAAGGCCGTAATCCATTCCAGTAGACACCGTTATACAGGACCCACTCTTCAATCGGTCACGTCCATTGTCGTTATAATCGACTGAGCTATAGAGACGCAGGAGAGGAGGGGAGAAGCACCAGAGATGATACAGGAGGTCGAATTGATGGCACAGAAAGGCGAGTCGTGGGCTCGCGGCAGGGTCGCGTGCCTCTGCAAGGAGATGAGCCGCATTAAACAGGAATCGCTGATACGAAATAGGAGCTTCGGGGCACGCCGAGATGGATGGCGGCGAGTTCGGAAGAGTCAGGACAAAAAAGACAAGCGGAAATGAATTGTTGCAAGAAAATATTTTTCTTCGAGTTTCCTACGTACCCCTAAAAAATAGGACCAAGGGAGGAGATTTGAGGACCTCTGTAAAGTAGGGACTTGAGTTATGTCTTATTTTCTTTGGCAACAAAAAAATTATAGAATAACAGCCATGTTTAGGGGTTATGTTGAAGATGCTCTTTATCCCATGTATGTACGGTGGATTGAGAGACAAAGTGGGTCGGAGCTCCACCAGAGGGGCCATAAAACTCCTGACACAAACAAGTCGGAAAGAAGAATTCATGTAGTTCCCTTTCAAATTTAAGTGAAAGCAATTTCTCAACCGGCTCAGCTTCGTCATGACCATTAACAAAGCACAGGAGCATATTATCCCCAACGTCGGGGTATATTTGCCGGAACCAATGTTCTCATAAGGTCAGATGCCCAGATATATGTAGCACTATCAAGAGCCACGGCAAGATCAAACATTAGGATCTTGGTCACACTGGCTATTGAGAAGGATGTGAATAAGGAAAATGGGAAGAAGAAGCTACCAAAGGGTATATTCACGAAGAATATCTATTATAAAGAGGTTCTAGCTCCATAAAAGACGATATCTCCTAGTAATACAAATTTTTTCCCATGCAGTCAATGGTACTGTACTCTCTCCGTTTCAAATTATAAATCGCTTTGACTTTTTTTTTCATCCATTTTACTATGTATTTAGACATATTATTATATGTAGATGCATAGCAAAATGGATGTAAAAAAAATCAAAGTGACTTATAATTTGAAACGAAGAGAGTAGTTTAAAATATTAACAAGCATCTTATATGCAGGACACTACCAAAACAACTAGGAGGACTACGATGACTACTTGCTTGCCGAGGCAATACCCTTACGATGTTCTTATAAAGGTGTAGAACTTAGGTTTGTCAGGGGATACATTTAGGATATAACTGCTCCTCCTAGCTTCAACCATGCACAAAAATTAATTTGTAATATTGATATTCAGAACATCACACTCGATTTTTTTTTTCTTTGAGTAACACTACAACATACATCTAAACTTAAATTATTGTGGCATTATTTTTTGCAGGCAGTTGCCTAGTTCACGTAAAAACTTTTATTTAAACAAAAAAGTTCCATGTCGTACCAGTATGAGTTTTCAGTTAGGGGTAATAAAGGCCTGAATCTACACAACTGGCCCTGCCCACCATCAGCATAGCGACCAGGCCAGGTCCATGAGAACTTATCCGCAGGCTCGCAGCTAGTCCGGTGGCCCAGCCTAGTAAGCATTGACTAGCAGCCTGTTCGCTTGCTCGTAAAGGATCATAGATTTTCAGTCAAAAATAGTGTTTTTCTCTCACACTAAATCAGCCAGCAGTAAATAATCCACGATACGATACGGCCTCCTGAACAGGCTGTAGGCGGCTACGGTGCTTCAGCAGCACGAGCCGTCGTGCGTCGGTGACAGTCAACCAGGACGGATCAGAGCCCGTCGTTGTGGTAAAAATGGTACGGATATTTCCGGACCATATTTGAGATCGGATCTGTTTAGAGGAGTTAAGATCTATCTGTATCTGAGTTCGAATATTCCACGTTTGATACCGTCACTGGCGGGGCCTCTCGGAGGCCAAACTAGGTGCTGCCCGGCTTTCTACTCTCATTCCCTTATTTGTTCACTAAGCTAGGTTATATTATATAGAGAAACTACTAGTATTCTTTATACAAAGCTCAAAAGTAGATTGTTTTGTAGATATATATTACACAAATACAAAGCATTTGCATAACAACTTTCAAAAAAAAAAATTCATTGGTTTTCCTTAACAATTTAGCCCCCCTTAATTAATCCTCACGCTCCGCCACGGGATACCGTATCTGTATCCGAATAATCAAATTGTATATTTATGATGTTGATATCTAATCGTGGTTGACAATATTCGTATTCAGATCTAGATCCGGATAAAAATCTAAAAACAATTATAATATCAGTCGTATCGTCCATATCCGATCCGTTTTGATCCACAGTCCTTTGGCACGAGCTACCGTACCGTCCGGTGGCCGGTGGCCGGTTTCTCCGGCTTTCTACGCGCGAGACTGGCGCGACACGACAAAGCCATCATCCACCATTTACCCGTCGTTGCGGCTCGGACGTTGACTTGCATTGCACACGCCACGCCGGGAGCCATGCCGCCTCCACGTGGGGAGGCTGGAGGCAATTAGGCAAACGCGCTCGTTCATCTCAGCGCCTTCTATAGTTCTGTACAAATATAAATATCCCTGGAGAGCTGGATTGGATCTCGCAATCAGGCGTTTTTTTCTCCCTGGTCTTCGCTGCAAGTTCGTGGCCGATCCAGCAACCAGACAAGCCGACCGCGGAGGGAGATGGCGCAGGGGACGCTGGAGGTGCTGCTCGTCGGAGCCAAGGGCCTCGAGAACACCGACTACCTGAGTACGTACGCTTGGGCACGTCTTATCCGCTCGAATCCTAGCGCCGTTTCCCTGCAAATACGAGATCTTGCGCGAGCATTTGTAGCTTCACTGCTCTCGAAGAAGGGCATCATATCAGCTCTTGCTAACGAGTTTTGGTGTGGTTGGTCGCAGGTAACATGGATCCCTACGCGCTTCTGCAATGCCGCTCCCATGAGCAGAAGAGCAGCGTTACATCTGGTATACGTCTCTGTTTAGCTTCGGTTTAGTTGCTTTCGTATTAGATACTTTAATTCGTTGAAAACATGATTTTGTTTTTTGTTTTTACAAGTTAGGACGTTTTACTAGTAATCGACAGTCTGCTGTGTGCAAAAGCCAAAAGGAGAGTTAAGACAGTAGGTAGCTATAGACTTCTAGTTCAGAAACATAGATAGAACTCAAGTGCTGTTAGAGCTAGAAAGCCATGCTCAAGTTACCGTCTCATGTGACTAGGCACAGATACTGTGCAAGTAATATGCCAGCACACTTGAAAGAGCCGAGGACATTTGAAAAATTACTTGTGTTTCTGTACCGTATGGATGGTTTCTTAGTGCTAAATGCTACTAATAGCCTAATACTGTGTATCCTTCAACCCTTGGCTTCCCTAGCAATTTGTAACTTGATCTGTTTGTGCACTGGGCACTACAGGCAAAGGATGTGAACCTGAATGGAACGAAACCTTTGTGTTCACCGTCTCCGATGGCGCAACAGAGCTATTCATCAAGCTCCTGGACAGTGACGATGGCACGAATGACGACTTTGTTGGTGAAGCAACGTAAGTACTCACATCCTGTAAGTTGTAGCTCGACCAATCACGCCTGCACCTACAGAGTGATGATAAACCATGTACAGTGACGCTAGTTTGCCTCCCTCTTGCGGTTTGCAGTTTTTGGAGATGTTTTGGGATCCAGTTTTAACGTCTGCAATGTTTTATTTCAATCGAGTGCCTCTGGTTTTGCAGGATTCCTCTGGAAGCAGTTTATACAGAAGGAAGCATCCCTCCAGCTGTTTACAGTGTTGTGAAAGACGAAGAATACCGCGGAGAAATCAAAGTTGGTCTCACATTCACTCCAGAGGTAACCATCTCACATAGTCACTCACATCCATGTTCAAAGCTGGATTTAGAAATGTAATACGTACACCGAGAAGTCTCTATCTATAATCTATTATAAAAATGCTTTTGTGATTTAAAATGTAGGTTCGTTTTCATCAAATCAGAAAAAGAAGGCTCACACAAGTTTTTCAGATTGCTTTTTGCTAAAAATTCCATGTGATAGCTGCCGCGGGGTGTCGATGTTTCTTTTGCCTCCTTTAGCTTTTCCTATCCAGTTTCTGTCCGTGGCAAGCACTATATATTGTACTTTGCGATAGTGCGTGTGCGTCCCTTATCTCTCTTTCCTGTTTACCTTTTTCCATTTCCCTGAAGATTAGGAGCTAGCTTTTGTTCTGAATTTATCTTGCTACAGCTTGCTGAAATGTCCCTCCTATAAGCAGATTTCTCGTGATCAGGGTTTCTGAGGATAAATTGGCGGGCAGTCATCTTATAAGAAGCAGGCGGATTCTTCCTATCCATGTATTACTGCAGTTCATCACTGAGCGTGCATTTACAACTTAATGTAGAACCCTGCAACTTATTACTCTAAAATTAGTTCCCTCATATTTGATGCCTTGTTCCTGTACTCCTGTTCCTGTACTGAAACCTGTAATAATAATGGTGCTGGCCACTTGCGTGAACTATGGCTGACCCCCACTTTTGATGTTCAGTTAACTTATCGCGATTACAAGAGGCCGTGTGACTGCTGCATGATATCACCTGTCCGCTCTTCCTTTCCCCTGGCCCTGAGGCCTGAACCCTGAAGGGCCTCCATTCCGTGTTCAACGGGGACAGGTTACAGGACCATGAAATCATCTTGCTCTACGGGACTGGCCGGACATCTCATGCATGGAGGTACCATGGTAATCAGCACCGTTCATGCCTTCCTCTGACATCCATGTCTCGGATGATGAGACTAAGGGTTCCTCCTAAACTCTAAACTTTAGTCGCTGAGCCATCGAATATTTAGACAAATGTATAGATTATTAAATATAGACTAATTACGAAACTAATTGCATAATTTATGACTAATTTACGAGACAAATCTTTTAAGTCCCGTTCGTTTTCTTCGGAATGGGCCATTCCTGGCCGGAGTAATTTCAGTCGTTATACAAATTACCGAAGGAATTCTCCGTACAAGGTCTGGCCGGGAACGGATCTTAGGAAACCGAACGAGGCCTAAACCTAATTAGTTCATGATTTGACAACGTGGTGCTGCAGTAAACATATGCTAATGATAAATTAATTAGGCTTAATAAATTCGTCTCGTGGAGTGACAGATTCTGTAATTTATTTTTTTATTAGTATCCGAACATATCATGCGACACTCTCACGTAACACCTTCTAAATTTTAGAAGCATGATCAAACACCCTGAGGCCCCGTTTGGCAGGGCTTCACTTCACTAGTGAAGCCATTTTTTTTTTGGCTTCAGCTCCACGAATAGCTCCACCGGTGGAGCTGAAGCGGTTTTGGTAAACCGTTTGGCAAAATGGCTTCCCTGTGAGAGCATGTTTTTAGGGGTCTGGAGGAGGAGCCGGGAGAAGCCACTATTTTTGGCTCCTTCCCACCCCAAAGCTCTGTGAGAGCACGTTTTTAGGGGCTTCATCGGTAGAGCCGTTTTATTTTACCCCGTTTGACAGAAAACGGCTCCAAACAGCTCCTGGAGAAGCCCTGCCAAACGGAGCCTGAGTCTATACCATGGCTTAGCGTTCACTCAGCCGCATGCGGCCCCGGCCCCCGGGTCTTCTTTGACCTTCCTTCCGGGCTCCGGCTCCGGCTAGCTGCTGCGCCTGCACTGCACTTCATGGCCGTATCTCTCTGCCTCCTTCCCTGTCTTTACGCTGAGCCAATAGACGAACCTAAGTCACTAGCGAATTTTTTATTATGTCCTAGACGACGATCCTTGCCATGTGATCTGGCCATCTGGGTGATAAGATATGTAGGATGCCGGCATGCCGCTGAGGATGACGTTGGCGTGCATGCTCTGCTCGCAAGCGAACAAAAATGCTAGTAACTCGAAATCATAGTTTCAGCGAGGCGCGACAAAGCACCAGCTTGTCCGGGCTCCCATGTCCGCTTGCTCGCTACGACGTCGCCGCGGCGGCGAGCGGAAATGACGCAAAACACCCTGCACTGACACGGCTGGCCGGAACTCCGGGAGAAGAAAACAACAGGCCCAGCCGGCCAGCTGATGCTCCGCTCCCAGAGTCCCAGCTCTCGCAGCAAAGAACCAAAGACAGCAACTCGCAATCATTGCTTCCCCTTCCCTATCTAATGAATCAAATCGTTGCTCGATTGGATCGGAAGAACATGGCAAAAGAAGCATGCATGTACACTCTTGCTCCATGTTGGGCTGGATCCAGAGCCCTACCCTACTGCTGCGGCGCTATCTAATTACAGTTACAGGCGCACATCTATCGCTGTGTGTGATTGAGCAGACTAGCAGAGGGAGAAAAATATGGAAGCTAGCCGAACGATCGAAGAACCTTGCCTGCGCTTGCTTCCTCGCTCTTGCTCCTAGTTGTGCAGCGGGTTGGAGCCCTGCGGCACCAGCCTCTTGGACTCGCCGAGCACCGCCTCGGCGTCCCGGGCTGCCGTGGGGGAGGGGGGCGTAGCGCGCGCGCTTGCCATCGTCGTCGTCGTCGCCGCCGCCACCAACGCCACCCGCCCGTGCCTCCACGCCGCCACGTCCGCTCGGGGAATCCTGTGGCCGCAGCAGCCGAAGGAGGCGAGCTCGATCGCCAGCAGCAGAAGCATTGCCAGCAGCATGGCCGGTAGCCGTGCGCTCATGCCGTGTCTCTCCATGTTCGGGGTCGGGGCCGTCGGGCCGGCCGCCGGGGATGTGGCTGGGAGCGAGCGAGGCTGCAGGGAAGGGGAGGACGCCAAGCGCTCTGGTACCGGAGGAGAGCGACTTTGTATGCGTCTGCTGCGCACGCTGCTGTGTTGCGCTGCGTGTCGTAGGCGAGTGGTGCCGGTGCGCGCTGCTAATAAAGACGGGGCCGGTCCGTTAGTCTGACTCTGCAGTCAGTGTGAAAGAAAGGGTGTGCTCTTGTCCAATGGAGAGGTGGTCACTTGACTCGCTGAAACAACGGCCGACCTAACCCATGTTCGTGTGGCGCAAAATCTCATGTCATGCGGCTGATGCCTGGTCGCGAGACAAGCTTGCCGACGTGCCGGACCGCGGTAGTCGTTGCGTCCATTTTTGCCTACGCTTCTGTGCGTGTCATGTCATGTCCCTGTATCTGTCTCTCAGTGGTCAGTGGATGAGTGGAATGTACAGTTACAGACGATTGATTTTCGAGATGGTGGATGTGTGGACACTAATCGGCTTCCTGTCTAAGGCCCGAATGGGAATGAAATTCACGTTGTGATGAGGATGGAGGACCTTGCTTGCATTTTACACAGAAAAGCTTCAAAAGCGACACTGCCGCATTCCGCTATTGTTTGCTTTTATCCCATCACCATCGGTCTTACCTCAACTTTATCCGTCTTTATTTTATTTGAGGGAAAAATAGGCAAATCACCGCATAATTACATGACAAATACATAGCAGAGCTTGCACCCAAGTCAATTCACAGTGGTTTCTGCCTGCGGCAGCGGGCCAGACCGACTTGTCTCCAATGCCCCCAAAAGGCAGGCGGATTGATGACATGCCCACCAGGTTGCCGGGTTTGGGCCTCTCGGTCCAGCAGACGAGACGAGGAATGGACGGACGACGGACGATTGCGAGGAGACCGGAGAAGACACGTCTCCTGCGCTCCCGGCTCCCCCGCACCACAAGCGCGTGCGCGCCGTCAAGTCTCCTCTACAGCAACTTTCACCGCGGACTCCCTCCCTCGTCTCGTCTCCAAGTTTCGCGGGGGCGAAGGTTGGCAGGCGGAGCAGTCGCGGTCTGCGCTGCGGCACGGCGACGAGGTGGGGATGGAGTACCGCGACAAGCTGGTGCTCGCGCCCATGGTCCGCGTGGTAACTCCTCTCGACCCGAGCCCTTCCCACGAATCCGTTGGCTGGAATTTCTTAGCCGATTCCCCCTCCGGGGCATATGACTTTGGATTTGAGCTAGTTCTTCGAAGCGTCTGGATCCCTGGATTTGGACATCTGCTTTCTTATATGAACCCAAGTTCATTCCTCTCGATCTAGATTCTAGAACTGGAAGCTCTACGCATTTCGTTTTATGTCTGAACTCAGAAGTGGAACAAGTATGAGACTAGGTTGTGACTTTGTCCGATAGATGAACGTAGCAAGCATGCGACTAGATTGTGACTCGAGCTTTTGCTTTTCCTGCTTCCAGTGAAGGAATGCAATTATGAATCATTGGTGGAAACAAGTACTAAGTTGATCAAATATACTCTAGACCTTAGGGGGTTAGCTATTTTGGACTTCAGGTTCTTCTGTATTCTGTTGAATTTTATGAATAGACAATATCATTTAGTAAATGAACACGCACCATTGCCCTTTACCAATAAATTTTAGTTACCGGTCACAAGGTCAAAAGGTTTTGATTAACAGCTCAAGAGGATCATCACCCCCTTTAGCTTGTGTCATGTTGTTCATCCCATGGCCATGACCCATGAAGTTTTCGGTTGATCTAGTTCTAGTCTGTGTGTCTGAATTTTTCCTTTGCAAACTTACTATCAAATGTAGCATCTGCCTTATCTTGTTAATTATTTTTGCAGGGCACCTTGCCATTTAGGCTACTGGCTGCTGAATATGGTGCTGATATTACTTATGGAGAAGAAATTATTGATCACAAATTGTTGAAGTGTGAGCGTGTTACAAATGGCATTATAGTTCAATTGATATTTGGCATCTGATGTGGTCTATTGGTCCTACAACTATTTCCACTGCATTAGCATTTTAGTCTACTCATCAACTGCTTTTAAGATCTAATATGTTGATTATCATAGGACTGCAAATAACTTTACCCCAATAATGTTGCATCTGAAGTCGATAATTGGGTATATTCATCTTAAAGGACTATTGGATGATAAAATTCTTGTAGTTGGGATTGGGGAAAGATTGGACGAATGCTAGAATAACTTTATGATTGCTTCATGAAGTGAAGAGAAAGCTATTTTAAATGTGAAGCTTGGGTGCCTATATAGCACTTCCAGTATCTGTCTTATTTGTTCCATCTGTTGTTTAGATTTATTGCATTGCTCTGGGGCTGTATGATTCGACACATCCTAATCATGTTGCACATTGTTTACCAGAATCTCTTGGGACTACTGATTTTGTGGAGAAAGGGACTGACAGTGTAGTTTTCCGTACATGCCCAGAAGAAAGGGGTAGGGTTGTATTCCAAATGGGCACATCAAATGCTGTGAGGGCACTTAAAGCTGCTCAGCTTGTGTAAGCTCTATTTCTGAAACCTTTTATTATACAAGTCCTGAAGTTGCTAACATAAATTCTGTGTTTGTGCCAATCGATAGCATTGGACTACATAGTTTTGCTTTGCATATTTCTTTAACCATAGTATTTCGTCCTCACAGGTGCCAGGATGTTTCTGCTATAGATATCAACATGGGCTGTCCAAAGTCTTTTTTGCTTAGTGGAGGGATGGGTGCTGCCTTACTCTCCAAGCCTGAGCTTATACATGATGTGCATTTCTTAATTGATTCCTTTTGCCTTTTCTATACCCCATATATCCACTGCTCTTACTCAGGCTATGCATAGTATACATATAGATTTTGACAAGATTGCTGAGGAACTTGGACACAACAGTGACTTGTAAAATCCGTCTTCTGAACACACCTAAAGACACTGTGGAGTTGGCACGCCGGATTGAGAAAACTGGTGTTCCTGCTCTTGCTGTCCATGGAAGGTAATGACGCATAGAATTGGTCTGGTAGATATTTGAAACCATTCTTACTCTAGCTTTGGAAGCATGCAATTAGCTATCTGCATTTTTCAATGATGTCAATATCTCCACCACTTTTCTTGAGTATGCCCTTTTATAATTGGTTTTGCTTATGTTGCTCCTCTTTGAAACCGCAGAAAGATTAAAGATAGACCAAGAGATCCTGCCAAGTGGGATGAGATAGCCGATGTTGTGTCAGCGCTGTCAATTCCTGTTATAGCTAATGGAGATGTCTTTGGGTATGAGGATTTTAAGAGAATTAAAGATGCTACAGGTTTTTGTTTCTATTTGCCCTGTCATTTGTTAGTTTGCTCTGTTTAATTTGGGTCTTCACCTCTATCAGTTAGCAATCTTGAAACTGCTTTTTTTAATATGCATCTATTCGGACTGCCACAAAACTTCAATCGATTCCTGAACGCTGTATGCCATTAAACAGCTGAAGTAGCTATCACTTCATTTTTCATGATGAATGCATATAAAATGGTTTCTGAATAAGTGACCCTGAGATACTTTCATCCTTGGTACATGTTGTCTAATGTGTATTGGTAGATGGACCTTCGTTTCTTGTTATTTTCAATGTAGTTGATATATTTGTTCTACTGTTAGGTGCTGCTTCTATTATGGTTGCTAGAGGTGCCATGTGGAATGCCTCTATCTTTTGTGGGGGCGTACCCAGTGCAGAGAGCTTTCGCTCTGTGCAGGGTTTGGGAAAGGGTGTTAGTGGCAAGCCTTACCCTCGCTTGTGCAATGCGAGGAGACCGCGACTCGAACCCGGGACCTTCCGGTCACAGGCGGTAAGACTCTACCGCTTGCACCAGGCCCGCCTCTATCTTTTGTGCCAAAGGAAAAACACCTTGGGAGGATGTCAAGAGAGAGTATGTAAGAAAGGTATTTAATTTTACTGTCGTGTTTGTTAGAGGATATCCTATTCATTTTGCATGGGTACAAAAACATACTGAAACTTCTAGAGTGTCTATAAAAAATTAGGAGTTATTTTCTCTTTTTTGAAGGGCGGGCCTAGTGCAAGCGGTAGTCTTACCGCCTGTGACCGGAAGGTCCCGGGTTCGAGTCGTGGTCTCCTCGCATTGCACAGGCGAGGGTAAGGCTTGCCACTGACACCCTTCCCCAGACCCCACACAGAGCGGGAGCTCTCTGCACTGGGTACGCCCTTTTTTTTCCTCTTTTTTTCCCTGTTTCAGCCTGATGGGTTGTACTACTACTTGGGCTGCAGCTGCAACCGCAACCGCACACATTGAAGCTGCTGGGTAGTAGCAACAACAGTTGGAATGTATGCAGCGGCAGCTGCAGCTGCAGCCCAAGTAGCACAGCTTGCATTTGGCAATTGGCACTGACATCATATTATTGCATTGTAACTATGTGGCAGAGCATATTGTGGGACAACGATGTGAAGAGCACGAAACATGCCTTGAAAGAAATGATAATGCACTATTCTTTTCCTTGAACTGCCTGAGGGGAAAGGTGTTATAAAGTGTGATACATCAGAAGATTTAGCGTAAGTTCAGACAACTTTAATTGTTTTCTTTTGCACATGACATGTTCACTAAGCTGTATGTTTTTGCATTATATGTCCATCGATGCTACTTGGAGGTTTGCAACATGTTACTAATTTACTCATGGACAATGTTATCCACTGATTGTTGTTTCCACCTGTGTTACTAAAATTTGTGCTATGGTAAATACCATATCACCTTACTTTCACGATAGGTCCAGGATGCTAGCTATCCGTCCATGTCATGTTTCTGATACTCCAACCCCCTCCCCCCAATCCACCCACACTCTTTGAAAATAGTGGATTCATATCACCTTGGTCTGTTGATTTTTGAAATCCACATTGAAAAGCCTGCCGTTGCTGTCCACATGTCCCTATGAAAATTCAGCAGATCTTATTTTCTTAACTATACATCACTTATTCTGCAACATGTACTCTCCACATATCCTTCCTTGTCAGTTCATCTTAATGACCAATTTCTTCTAATCTTTCAGGAGACTATATGGGGAGGAGGACTACTATAATTTTGTTGTTTCAAATAGGAAATGAATACAATTTGGTGCTGTGAGCTCTCATGCGTATCAGGTATCTATTTTCAAATACAGTGGGTCTAGAGCTAGTGAAAAAGGAAATAATATTCTGTGAAATTGATGAAGTTAATAGTGTTTCATGTCGTGCGCATGTGGTACTTGTTCCTGCAAATAACAATTATTTGAAAAATAAGTATGTTTGTTGACAAGGATTTCAAAACTAAAACTGGTTCCAGGTCCTTGGCCAGGTAGCCACTCCTAATAGGGGCTTGCATGCTGGTAGTTCTGTAAATTAGCAATTAGAGTTTGTAAATTTCTAATACTGATCAAGAAGTCAAGAACTGGCTAAACTAAATGGTATTTTCCCCCGACCCAGCAAAATTGGTGAAACCTGCCTGAAACTTGAAGAACGATGTTGTTCACTTGCACGATTAAATTGCAAATCAGAGGCACCCACAATGTAAATTCAAAAGGTTTTTTTCATAATAAAAAGTTGCAATAATTCAGTGATCAATGGGTAATGGAGCAGCACTCTCAACTTCATGATTGGCTGAACCTGTATGTTTGCCTAACAATCTTAGTCGGATAGTTTCTCTCTCCCAGTCTCCCTCTCTAAAAATGTACTACCAAGAACCTGTATATCTGCCTAATCAATCTGAGTATCTCAGAAAAAAAATATTTACCAAGAGACATATTGTAATGTAATGGCTGAACTCAATGTGACAACTCCAAAATATTCCCATCATTACTTGTCACGAGTTGTACTTGCAGTCTGTCTTGAAAATGCATAGCAGTTTTCAGTTCTTGGGGTCTGTTAAATTATTAATGATCTTTTTAGTTTTTATTTGCCATCTTTCTAAGCTAACAGATTTTTTTTTATTTTTATTTTTGCAGCTTCTGCTTGGATTCCTATCTCACTTTTTATTAATGGGATTAGGAGGAATCTGCCCTGCCACCAAGGAAAACGAGATTTGCCATTTTGGCGCTGTCTGGACTTAGGTCCACTAGTTCAGTAAGGGTTTTCAAATTGAAAAAAAAGTAAAGACACTGGAGCTGCTGATCTTTCTCTTCTACTAGTAATAGATAGGTCCATACCTGGAATTAATCAAACACCATATATATATATATTTTTTTGGAAACTGATACTAATCTAGACCATGGAAATTTTGTCATGTATTGTTGGTGGAGATACTATGGTGCTTTTGGGGGAATTCAAATGGACTTTGACATGTTGACTGTACTGTTCAAATATTAAAGTTTTCATGATATGACTTTGACTGGCATTTAGCCTGGCACTTAATATTTGCAACTCACCTCATGCAGTATGTTAATAAGCAGCATGAGGTGAGTACAATAAAATGTCTTTATGCTTTTTCTCGACGCATTGCTACCTATCATTGTATTAAGAACAGTCCCATACAAAGCTGCTAGGGGGGCAAGGAGGAAGAAAAACACATAACTTGGTTAACACGCTCCACAGGAAGTAAGTGAAAAAACGACTAAGACCAGGAAAGCCTATACCGAACCAATACCTATTTGTGCTTACAGGTATCATATTATAGATCAACCTTGCAGTGAATTGTGTGTGTGTGTTTTGTGTGTGTTTTGTCTAGGCTTAACTAACTTTGGAGGGAAAGTGCTTTGGCACATCCACTCCCCCAAACAATTGTGCTCTGACACTTGTTGCTGCATGGTTGCTCATAATGTAAAATTAATTCAATGCAGTTGATCTCATAGCACATCTTTTATCTTTGGTGGAGCTCCAATCTACTTCACACATGCTCTGTATCTTGATGGGCAAAGGCGCAAAGCCTGCATCAGCCATGACATCAAAGACCTGCGTGATGGCATCAAGACCTGCATCAGCCATGACATCAAAGACCTGCATCAGCCATGACTTCAAAGCCTGAATCACCTCATACGAATATGCATGCATGGTATTCCCCCTTCACAAATCAGGAATATCTCTGAAAGGACCTAGGATGCCGCCTAAAAGGAGTTGAATAGGCGTTTTTGAAAATTAACACCTTTTAATATGGAAACGATTTAGTAATTGGAGTTTCCGAGTGGAAACTCCAAATCAAAGTAATACAACCCCTCACAAGTTAGCCATAGAGTATATAAAATATACTAAATAAGTTTATGGAGCCAAACACCTGCAGCCAAAGAGTTAAATCAAAATGCAATTAAGTTTGGCACATAAACCAATACCGGACGTGTCCGGTATTCACGGTTTCAGTGGAATAGCCCCAAACTTGCTCATTTCGATTTCTATCTTCACACCAAACTGCATGTACCTACTAGAGATGACATAATACATAGATAACTTGCATAAGAGCTAGAGCAACACAAATATCAAATAAAATGCGAATTGAGACACGATATTTGTTTTACCGAAGTTCGGACTCGTTTGAGTCCTACTCTCCGTTGAGGGGGCTACGGGTGACCTAGCGAAGGTCAGCCCTATAGGGTACCAGAAGGTCACTCTAGCCGGAGTCTTTTCCAACTCCTTTTCTCCTTCCACTAGTTGATTCCGGGGCGGCGGAATCGACCGTTACAAACTTTTCGAGGCACACCACAATCTCTTGGGTACTCTCCGACGACACCTAACCGTCTAGGACCGAAGAGTCCAAGAGTAACAAATGCAAATCACGAGATTGACAATATGCACAAGTGCTCAAGTGGTTGGATTGCTCTCTTTTTGAATTTCTCTCAACCCACTAATGGATTTGGCAATTTAGATCACACACTCACTAAGAGAGGGTTTGGGAGAGTTGGTAAGGCTCAAAAATGTGTATTGCAACCAGCAGAATCAGCAGCCTCCAAAGGTGGAGGCTTGGGGGTATTTATAGCCCTTTAAAAAACTAGCCGTTTTCTAGCCATTGCCATGACTTGCACTGCGCCAACGGTAACTTTGTCAGTGTCGTTGTGAGGCGTCGGAACTCTTGACCATCGGAACTCCCGACTCACGTCGGAACTCCTGACCCTCAACTCATTTGAAAACAAGCCGTTGGGCTCTCACTGAGTTAAAGTATGCGAGGTGTCGGAACTCCCGATGCATGCCGTAACTGCCGACCCTCAACTCATTTGAAAACTAGCCGTTGGGCTCTGACCATCCATACCTATCGGACACGTCCGGTATGACCAGGACAGTGAACTTCTCTAAGTTAGTTAAGTGCGAGACGTCGGAACTCCCGACGATTGTCGGAACTCCCGACTCACCAACCCGAGAACATCAAGAATTTTATTGTGGCTGGGAAATATCAGACACGTCCGGTAATGCCAGACCAACAAAAAACAAATTAGCTCTTTTGTTTCTCAAACACTCAAAACTCACATGGGTTGGCATGAGCACTTATGAATGATTATCTATCAACATGATGCATTCATCTTAATAGTACGGCATACCTATTAAACTCAAGATCAAAGGAAAAATGAATTTATACCGCTTGAGTTGATCTCTTTTGAATTGATGCTGTCTCTTTCGATCTTCATCAAGTGAGGGTGCTAACATATTGATATTGATCTTTTCACTTGAGCATAGTCATCTTGAGCACTTGACTTGATTCCATTCATCAAATATAGATAATCCCAAATATACCAAGTCACTTCCATCACTTTGTCCAATATAGATTTGATCCTCAACATCAATATAACCATCATAGCTTGATTAATACCTCAACTAAATGCAAGTACTTCCTTCTTCACCCTAGGTAGGTTCTTCGGCCGCCAAGCCGTCTGAAAGGATCAAGATGCCCAAGAGGGGGGGTGAATTGGGCTAATTCTAAATTTTCTTTCAATAATCAAATCCTACGGATAGCCCAATTAACCCCTTGTGCCTAGAAAAGTGTTTCTATCAAACTAATCGCCCAACGGACTTTCAACCTATGTTCCAAATTTACTCTAGCATGGCAATTCTATGAATGTAAAGACAAGTATTGAATTGCTCAAAGTAAATACTTAAAATAAATGCTCAAAGTAAATGGAGAGAGAGAGAGGAACGCGGTGATGTTTTGCCGAGGTATCGGAGAGTCGCCACTCCCCACTAGTCCTTGTTGGAGCACCCGCGCAAGGGTGTAGCTCCCCCTTGATCCGCGCAAGGATCAAGTGCTCTCTACGGGTTGATTCTTCGACACTCCGTCGCGGCGAATCACCCAAAGCCGCTCACAACTTGAGTCGGGTCACCCACAGTCTCCACCGGGTGATCACCAAGCTCCAAATCACCACCAAGCTGTCTAGGTGATGGCGATCACCAAGAGTAACAAGCACGAACTCTCACTTGACCACGCGAAGCCTAATGAGAAGATGGATGCACACTTGACTACTCTTAATTCACTAATGAGGCTACTCTCTTGGATTCTCAAATCTCAATCACCTCACTAGGACCTTGCTCTTCTTGGCACTCACAAACATGTTTCTCAACTGTTGGAATGAGCAAAAGCGACTCCACACACGAGTGGAGCTTCTATTTATAAGGTAGCCTGAAAAACGAACCATTATGAGCTTCTGCGGGGTGACTGGACGCTCCGGTCGCACTGACCGGACGCGTCCGGTCGCATAAAACCCTTACTGGAACCTTACTGGACTCGACCGGACGCAAAACCCTCAGGGTTCGGTCAGAACTGACCGGACGCGTCCGGTCGCAGATTTCCTTCTCTGGAACCTTACTGGAGTCGACCGGACGCTCAGCGTCCGGTCACTCGACCTCTCCAGTGTCCGGTCACACCGAAAGTAGACAGCAGATCCAATGAACTGACCGGACCCTGCAGCCAGCGTCCGGTCGCACCGGGGCCAGCGTCCGGTCAGCATTGGACCCTCCATTCACTTCCAACTCTTGATCATATGTGAATGAAGTTTGCTCCAAAGGATCTTAGGCATTCGTAGGAGCTACCTAGAGCTAGTTTTAACAAGTGTGCACCACACCTAACTCACTAGACTTAACTAGGTCAAGCTACCCGTCCATACCCCCTTAATAGTACGGCCAAAAGAAAAATAAAGTCCAAAACTACTCTAAGTGTCTCTCCAACTCCAATCAACACTTAGAACTAGTCATCCTTAACCTTGTCGTCCATCCTTTGAAAACCGAAACGATTTCCATCGTAGGGGCATGACAACTTTGATTGCCCAATTGATCTCCATTATCATGACTTAACTTACTTGCCTCTGCAAAACACACGTTAGTCATAGTAATCTTGTATTGTCATTAATCACCGAAACCCAACTAGGGGCCTAGATGCTTTCAATCTCCCCCTTTTTGGTGATTGATGACAATACCACCTCGAGAATGTGAAAGAGTGAGGTTTTTGACGGGCTTGGTTCATATAAGCTTTTGTCGATAAGAACAAAAGTGTTAGGCAAGCTTATATGATCCAAGCCAACTCGATGTACTCAAAGGATTTGAGCTAAGCATGAGTACAAGAAACAAAACTCATTTGCATCGGAGCATAAACGTGGAAGCAAAGGCAAATGAGCATAACAAAAGTGATATGACATATAAATAATGTAAAGTAGAGAGCACACATGTCATATATCACTACCACGTAGATAACACTATCACATAGATATAATAGTATGCATGAAAGTAACACACGAATGCATAATAGAAATAGTGTATCACACAAATAAAACTCCAAATGTATATAAAAAGCTAATACTAGGTAACAAGCCCCCCCTAAAAATCGCTCCCCCTGAGTCTACATACTCGAACCCTCTCCCCCTTTGGTGTCAAACACCAAAACCTAAGGGTCGGTTGGCGGGGCTGCAGCCGACGAGTCGGGCGCTGAAGTACGTGGAGCAAGATGAAACTAAGCGCCATCATTATCTGACCCTGAGCTCTGTACTGACTGACCCTCTGAAGCAGGAAGTGTCGCTGAAGCGGTCTGGGTCTGAGCTGGGGCAAGTGCGGCCTGTGATGCAGCTGGTACGTCTGTCGTAGGATCAGAAGAGGCGACAGACGAAGGGAGCCTCTGAGTAGTCACAGCGACTGGAGCTGCTGTAGA